CATTTCTTCAGTTTGCAGAAGATGTGGTTCTATTGGCTTCATCAGAGAGTTCCCATCAGCATGCACTGCAGTGATCTGCAGCCAAGCATGAAACGACTGGGGTGAGAGCTCAGGGTTCTCCACTGAAAATCTCCTCCTTCTGCTCCTTCTGAGATACAGAACAGAGGAAAAAGAGTTAAAATATCTTGAACTCATTTAGAAGTGATGAGAAGGTGAAGTATGAGTTGGACCAGCAGATTGGTGTAGTGTCAACAGAAATGCACATACCAGTCTGTGGTAGTGAAGAGAGAGCTCAGCTAAAAGACAAAGTTTTGAATTTACCAGTCCATTAACCTCCCAACCCTCTCCTGTGGTTATGAAATCTGGGTGAATACAGCCACAGCTGCTGCATGTCAAAAGAAGCCAGTGGAGGTGGTTTGTGAATCTGGTTAAGAGGCCTCCTTCACCTTTATCAAATTTGGCTACCACCATCTCAGATTTTGGATTCACCAATGAAAACAACAGCTAATGCAAGCAACTTTGGTTTCGAGGCACAAACACAAATAGCTCCTAATTAGTAACACAAATTTCCAATGCTGTATAGAAAAATACAAAGGAAAGAAATTCACCAATTCAATAAAAACACTGCCAAACATTTTATTTAGCTAAGTTGAAGCACAGCAACCGGCTAGAAGGCTGGCTCCAAGAAACCACGCCTCTTAAGATAACTTTATTGTCGCCTAGACAGACGTCAAGAACGGGTAAATTAAGACTGCAGAGAACTAAAACCTTTTTGTGCTAGGTTGTAAACATATTTGATTTCTGCTGTAAAGTTTATGGAAGTCTATAGAGATTTACTTGTTTTGAAGCAAACAACCAGTGGCCAGTTAAGAAGCTGCAGGTTTTTTGGCACTAAAGCATTAGCCAGCTGGAGATTGCCATCTTTTCCGGAGGCATGGTTGAAAACCCTGCAGACATAAGTAAAATACATAAATTCATTTATTTAAGTATATAAATATTTAGTGTTAAGATTTGGTTACCAAAACACATTCCAGAAGTCAGGTGTCTCAAGCTTATGCTTTGTCTGAACCCTGTTTTTTGCTAGCTAAAACTCAAATCCAGCTTGGGGTGACACTGAATCATAGCTGTACGTTGCTAATGAAACAAGATAGCCAGTGCTGGCAACAGCAAATAACACACCCAGTTATGGGCTCTGTACTTTAAACATAGCAATCTTTGAGAAGAAATAGTAGTTCATTGTCAAAACAATAATGTGTGTTGAATGCAATCACCAAAAAAAATTTTTTATATTAATTATTAAACCAGTATTGGTGTTGTTGTTGAAATACAGAGCCATGGAGACAGCAGTGAGCTAAAGGCTGATGTCATACATTGTGAATTTTACACCTTATTGTGTTTGTATAATGATATACTTTTTACATTGTTATTATTTTACTGTGTCTATAAATCAAAATCTCTTTATCAGAGTAACAAAAAAGGTAGGTGATAGGTAGACATTTAATAAATGAACTTTGAACTCATAGATGACACATCGAGATGTATCAATTGAAACAGAACCATACTAAGTAGAATGCAGTCATGTATAAATACTAAGAAAAAACAGGATTACAACCTTAATATTTTGAAATGTAGCTTAGAATATGTGTAACAGAGTGGCAGCAGAAAAAAAACATTCAGAGTTCAGAAAAAAGAAGAAAATCTCATTTCGCATGTGTATAAATATTAATACTTATTATTGAGGGACTACTAAGTAG